TCAGATCAGTTTCAGGTTCCATTATGAGCTCTAAAATGCTCTTTATTTCTCAGATGTGATTTTCATTACTCCATTAGCAGCTTGAGACTTCTTGATATATCTTTCATAGCTAAGATTGTGCCTACTGTAGATCTGTTCAAGCCATACTGCCTAGCAACATCAGACATATTATGTCACTTTCTACCTTGGCTATTATCTCTTACTTGGTTTCTACGGTGAGCACAGTTCTTGACACTCCTTTTTTTTATGCTCCATAATATTATCAGTTTCTTTTTTAAATAAAAACTTCAGAAAAGCACTTACAAAAATTCAGAGAACAGAAATCAACTAGCCCACAAAAAATTATTTAAATGCAAAGCCCGGATGAAATTTGAAATTTGGTATTAAAACGTTAACGAATATCTGATGGGACATCTTCCATCTTTCGTAAATAAACCCTGATGCAAAACTTAACAAGTATTCGTCCGACAGTCTCGCAAAGACTATAAAAAATTATTTGTCAAAAAGATAAACAAAAAGCAAGGGAGAGTTTCAAAATTCGAAGGGATACTATCTGATTGGTATCGGATTGAGCGTCGATGTTGACGTCTTCCATGCTCCAAAAGGTTTCAAATTGTTACCTGAAGACAAGGGAAAATCAATCAGTGTTCGTTATTTTCCATTGATTCTTTTTATGTTTGTTCAGTAAAGTGTTCGTTGTCTGATCATAAAAATCTTTCACAAAAGTGCTTGTTATCAAATTTGTTCGCTATCCAAACTGTTCATTAACTGATCACCCACTGTATAGCTAGCTGTAACCTTACAGAGTTCTTAATGTTATATAAAGTTTCACTTGATTTATCAGATTGTTTTTTTTTTTAAAGTAATAAAAAATGTGTACTAATTTTTAATTTAAATTAGCTTAACTCAGTTATGTGTATACAAATAAGATAATCTTAATCAATCATCTTTTTATATTTTGTAGTCAAAATTTTCTGTTTCTAGCTGAAAAAACAAACTCCAATCAAAACTTTGTATCAATTATAATTTTGCAACTGTTATATACAACCATTACATCTAAATTAAAACTTGTTAGATGTGCAAGTATGGTACATTGTCACTTTTTCTAAAATAGCAAAGTACTTGTAAAGTCCTTTTTTTGAAAGCCCAGAAATTACCTAAAGTGCATTATATAAACTGAGAGTTGGTAGATACCAGGCCTGGACTTGGAACTAGCAAAAAAGATATACAAACAAATTTGTTCAATCAAAATATAATCTATTAATGTAGGAATAGCCCAAAATAACTACTAAACATAACAAGAAAAACAAATTCTATTTATTATTTTATGACTGACTATGTACAATAAGAAATAAGTTAGAAAATTTGTAAATGTAAAAAAAAGAGATGCTATATCAAATCAAAACAAATAAATACAGAACTTTCCCAACATTTGGAGACTTAACAAATTAACCTAGAATTATCTTATAACTATCTCCATAAGAACTGACAAGAAATATGAAACTAGACTATATACAGAAAATTCACAAAATGCTCTTACAAATTAACTCGCCTAACCATCACCAATAACTTCTACTCTGTCAATGAACTTGAAAGTCTTTTTCCTTAACCTCGCTTGATCCTTACCTTCATCTCGTTTGATTGTTGTTCATCTCTCTTCTTATAGTGCTGTTGTAGTGACATTACATTGGTACACCCACTTGACTCTATTTACATAATTAACCCTACCACTCATTTAATTCTAGTAACCTTTTCTCCATGTCATGTCATCTCCCTTATGTTATTCTTTTATATTTTTTTTTGTTTTTAATTTTCAGTAACAATTTGGGGTTGGAGATCCTTCTTTTAACTCCCTATTAGAAGTCTCCTTCCCCAAGATGTCATTCCTCGGTTTGATGACAGTTGATTTGCTGTCAGCAGTCATCATAGTGAGGCAAGTTTTGATTTAGAGTTTTGTCCAGGTGAGATGTGGTAGTCTATCCTTATTGAAATAAAATGCCCCAAAAATAAATAAAAAAATGAACTAAAAATAATCCCCAAACAAAATAAAGTGGGTTGAAATCGACTCCTTACATACTTGCAAGTTTAACAAGAATTTCAAGTTCATGCCCTAATCTGAATAGTTATTTCTAAACTTTTTTGTTTTTGTAAAATAAAGTGGGTCGAAATCAACTACTTACATACTTGCACGTTTAACAAGAATTTCAAGTTCATGCCCTAATCTGAATAGTTATTTCTAAACTTTTTTGTTTTTGTAAAATAAAGTGGGTCGAAATCAACTACTTACATACTTGCAAGTTTAACAAGAATTTCAAGTTCATGCCCTAATCTGAATAGTTATTTCTAAACTTTTTTTTTAGAAGATAATCAGTAATTATCCAGTTTAAGATAAAGAAAAGTATAAAAAAATAATGCAAAAATTACTGGGTTACAATATATTTTTGAATTAGTATCATGGTAGCTGAACTCTGTCTATCCTAATTCTCACAAATAATGTTCTTTGGTATCCAAGCAATTACAATCACATTAGGGATAGTTTAATGAGAGTTGTTATTCTTGAAGGGTACAACTGGCCTTGCAACCCATGTAAACTCATTCACACGCTTACAATGTTCCATCATCTACTCACATTCATATCCCTTGGTGGGGCTCTTGAGAGAACTCGCTCTGGGGGCATGAATGGCAATTAGCTTTCCCTTACTTTGTTTCAACTATCGATATATAGCTGCCTTTCAACTTTGTATTTTAATTCTTATTTTCTGTCTTCTTTTTTCAGTCTAAATTCAGTTAGTCCTAGTTGTAAGTTAGATTAGGGACTCTTAGCTTGGTTTCAGGTTAGGTTAAATTAGATTAGGGTTTGTTAACTTTAGTCATCTGGTTAGGTTCATCCTAGGTTATGGTCAGTTAGTTTAATTAATGAGTAAGTTAATGTTAAAAAAAACATAAATAAATAAATACATAAAAATAATAAAAATAAAAATTTTGGGGTCTTGCTTGTNGAATTAGTATCCTGGTAGCTGAACTCTGTCTATCCTAATTCTCACAAATAATGTTCTTTGGTATCCAAGCAATTACAATCACATCAGGGATAGTTTAATGAGAGTTGTTATTCTTGAAGGGTACAACTGGCCTTGCAACCCATGTAAACTCATTCACATGCTTACAATGTTCCATCATCTACTCGCATTCATATCCCTTGGTGGGGCTCTTGAGAGAACTCGCTCTGGGGGCATGAATGGCAATTAGCTTTCCCTTGCTTTGTTTCAACTATCAATATATAGCTGCCTTTCAACTTTGTATTTTAATTCTTATTTTCTGTCTTCTTTTTTCAGTCTAAATTCAGTTAGTCCTAGTTGTAAGTTATATTAGGGACTCTTAGCTTGGTTTCTGGTTAGGTTAAATTAGATTAGGGTTTGTTAACTTTAGTCATCTGATTAGGTTCATCCTAGGTTATGGTCAGTTAGTTTAATTAATGAGTAAGTTAATGTTAAAAAAACATAAATAAATAAATACATAAAAATAATAAAAATTTTGGGGTCTTGCTTGTTTGTCTCTGTTGGTCCGTTCACCTTGTATAGTTTGTCATTGTGTTCATTTGCTTTTCGCACTGTCTGTCTAGCTGTTAACTAGTATCAAGATTCACGATTGCACGTTCAGTTTTATTAGTATTAAGTAGATATAAGTCTTCCTACTAATAGCCACTTGGCACTAACTTCTACACTTAGCTATTTGTGGTGGCACTCAATTATTGATGTTCGTTACACTCGGGTTTTCTTTTAGACCCTTCGGAGGACTACAGCCTTGCAGCCTAAAAACTGCACGCCAACATCAAACATAGAGGGTACTGTACACCATTCAGAGGGATCCTATTTTTCTCTACTGTCTATCTCCTCTCCCTCCTTCTTCCCCTCTTTTCTGCTGGCTAAACACTTTATGTACGGCTGATGTCTTTCTTGTATGTACGTATGTACAAATCCATGCAATATCCAAATTGAATAATCCTATTGTTATGAATTAACTCAAAACACATTTGTAAAACTCACACTAGAAGAAGTAGGAAGTGACTGTTTCTCAGTGGCTCTGTGGTATTATGTCTGAGTTCCTAACATAAACTTATATTTTTATTATAAAATTTTGCCACAATCTGACAAGATTCTTTTTAATAGTTCATTAGTAAGTTTGCTACCTCATTTGTTTACTTTCTATTCTGTTCTTATATATAAATGTTTTAATATAAAACATAGTGTCATCATATTGTCATTGTTGTCTATTATATATTAAAGAAAATGCAGTTCATATTCAATTTCAAATAAAAAATCGTCATATAGAATTATTCATTGTGTTACTGTTTAAAGCATATCTAGTAATCAATCATTAAGGGCATGTCAGTACGATAATTAGAATTTTTCAAATTTAACATCAAGCTAAAAAATGAATAGATAATAGCCATTTTCTAATCATTTAGTGTCTTTTGGTTAAAGTGGTTGGGGTTATCCAAGAAAACAGAGAATGAGTTTGAATTTTTCCCATAAAAAATAATGGTAAAAATTTTTCCTATCTGAATTCCTAACATTCATATTGAGTCCAGAAACACAATAGATTGTGTAACAGGGCATAGCTTCACGTTTTACAAAACAGAATTGTGTAACAGAGTTTTGATACTTTCTGCATGTCTTAAAGGAATGGATGACATTAAGATAAATTTGAAATAAAAACAAACATTTAATTTTGTATAGGACTACATATACTTAATTAAAAGTTTTAAAAATTAAGGTATCTATATCATTGCTTATGCATTTGTGTTAACACCTCTGAAGTGAACAATCTAACATTTCACATCTAAATTTATTCACTTATTCTTAAATGAGAGTTGGCCAGTCAACCCTTACAGAAAGAGCTTTTTAAATTTTCAAAATTGTTTTTAAAACTTAAAAATGTAACAATTTTAACTGAAATTTGCATCAGAATCTATCAACAAGATTGGGCTAATTCTGTTAATGCAATGGGTGATAAAAAGTGTCATCAAAGATTTTTGTCAATGTTGACCTTGGCACCAATGTTGGCAAATTCTTACCTGAAAATGACACCATTGCTGAAGTGAAAAACCAAAAGAAAGAAATATAAGGAAGAAACAAATCTTATCAACAACAAACATTTCATTTCCACTATATTCAGAAAAGCTAGAAACTCAAGTTTGAAGAGACTTCCTAAAAGCCACATCACATGTGAAGAATTGAGGTTCTCAAAACATTATTACACAGAAGATATTGTATTGTTAACATCAAATTTGTGTAACATATTTCTTTAAAAATGTTTTTCTATCCCTTTAACTTTAGTTAGAGTCAACCATATAGTTACATAGCTTCTAATCTATTCTGTTAAACATATTTATTTTTTAAAACATTTAAAATGAGTTTTTCTGTATATTATCTTATCATTTGTGATTTTTTTAATACATTCTAATATTTTTATATGGATTATTATTTTAATATTTATATTTTTAATACTTACATTAATATTATTTTAATATTTTTATATGGAAAAAATATTTTTTCCCTATATAAAATATTAGAGTACATTAATCATGAATTTAAATTCAAATTAATTAATAAAACATCAACGAAAAGTTTAATATTTATAATTTTAACAAAATTATTATTTTTAAAATTACCTTTAAAACTATTTTCATCAAAAATGTTTTTAATATTCAATACGTTCCATTGAAGAGGCGTGTGCTTTTCACTTATACTTGGCTCAAATATCGATTTAGTCTTCCATTTTACATATGATATTACACAAATTGTTGATCCAGTAAAAATGGATAATGGAATGGAAGCCACTACTGAAAACACATCTCCCCGCTTAAACTCCATGTTTTCAATTTTATTTTGAGCAAAGTCAAACCAGCATTGATTATTTGCCAAATGATGTTTGTACCACTTACATTTATATTCTATGATTTCTTTTTCATGGTACAAATGGACATTAATATCCAAAATAAACCTGTAAAGTATTCAAATGTTTAAGAAAACTTTTATGTGATAATTTAAACAAATTATGATGTAAATCATGTAAATCATACACATCATTTTGATTTAATAAACTCCATCCTAATATCCAATGATCTTTCAACAACACGTTCCATTTTCCTATTATCGACATAGCATCTGAGCATAGTCTTTTCTCTAATGAGGGAGAAGGCTTTGTTTTTGATGCAGTCAAATCAATAAGCTCTCTCTAAAAAAAAAATAAATAAATAAAATAAATAATTAATTGATCAGAACATTATATTATTATATTAATAATTCAAAGTTTAATAAAAAAAATAATAATAATAATAATTCCAATAACATTAAATGACTGATAGATTTAAAGGTTTAATTCATAAACATTTTCTACATTAATACAGTTGACCCCCAATAACACTGTTGATAATTCTGTTTTATATGAATTCCATGTTGTACGAGTCACTTAGATTTTACAAATACATGTACCTGACTAGTCCACTGTTGAAAGGTTAAATATATAACACTCACCAAATAAACCATTACCAGTTCATAATCAAACAGAAAAATTCTTTCTATGAACGTTTTCATCCAGGGAGGTCTGGACGAATATAAGAACATCTAGAAAATGGTTGAGAGATAATGACATTGTTGCCTTAAGAGCAGACAAATCAAAACACGTAGTGCTCATGAAAAAGAAATCATACTGAAAGGCCATAACACAATATATCTCGGGCACGGAATGCACAGTAGCGCATCATGATTTTCTTGAGAAAATATCAGCCAAGACATTGAAGATCTCCAACACTCCTCTCGCTAATACCTTGAATCTGGCGGCAACGAGAGTTATGGCGCCATCTCTACCTCGTATATTTGCATTTGCAAAAACCCATAAGAGCGGACAACAGTTAAGGGTGGTGGTGGATAAAACGACTTCTCCCACTATTAAAATGGAGAGACTTCTTAACAAATACATCACTAACAATCTAGAGGATCATATGTACACGATCACTAATCCTGAAGAAGTACTTCAAAAATTACGGGATCTTAACGAGTCATAGGTGGCATATTTCACAATATGTGACTATCAAACATTGTTCCCATCTATAAAACTGGAACCCTGTTTCTGCGAGTTGAGAGATTTTTTTCTGGAAAAGGTGGAAGGCTCTTATAAGTATCTCCCTGATGTGTTGGATTTATCACACTTGATAGTCCACTCGTCCTTCTTCAAATACGAAGGGGTCACCTACATGCAAACAAGGGGTGTGCCGATGGGCAGCTCAATATCAGTAATACTTTGTGAATTAGTGATCAGAAAACACGAGAATACCATATTACCCAAATTTCAAGAGGATATAGCATTGTATGTCAGGTACTGTACATCGATGATGTACTCATCGTATGGAACAAGGTACCTAACATTGATTTGGTACTTAACTATTTTAACGATAACTGGCCTGTCGTTGAAAGTTGAACAGGAGAGTCAGACAATGGTACATTTTTTGGATATTACCATCAAAATGGAGCAAGGTCATCTTTCCACCTGTGTGTTCTGTAAGGAGTCATATACATCTCTATTTATACATAACAGTTCACATGACCCTTAATCTTACAAAGTCTCTGCTTTTCTAGCTTTGGTAAAAAAGGGCACACACACATTGTTCGGAGCAAAAGGAAAAAGAAAACGAATTGTCGAGGATCAAGGCCCTTGCAATGCAACAGGGATACCCGTCCTCTTTGGTCAAGCATCTCATATACCAATACATAAATAGGAGGGAGAGGAATATGCCACAAGACGAACAGATGAGGGTTATCACATACAACAAAACATTTTCTAATATATATAGAGATTGCAAGGACTACTAAAATACATCTAGCATATCGACACTCTCCTACAGTCTTCTCTCTTATCAGAAATGACAAAAACCGTATAGAAGATTCTAACTCTCCAGGGATTTATGTGGTTCCTCTTCAAGATCATCAGGTTAACCATGCTTTAACATACATTGGAGCAACTGCAAGAGGTCTCGCCATGAAGATGAAAGAACATGAATATTCGATAAGAAAAAAGCTGACCACAACGGCACTAGCGACATATGTGAATAGTGAGGACGTTCAAGTTGATCTATAAAATGCTAAATTGCTACACAAAGTATCGGATAAGGCACAACTCAAGTACCTCGAATCGCTGGAGATATATAAGGAAATTAAAAAAGGGGTCGGTATTAATTTCAAAGAAACCAATACGCTTTCCGCAGCATGGCGCGCCATACTTGAATTAGATCCCAATGATTGAAATGCGCATCAAAGACATTTTAAATTACGGAGGTTATTTACGTCATGATTAGAGGATTTGATCCCGGGATCTCGAAAATCGGGATCCCGGGATCCTGACCACTTTTCAGTCCCAAAATTTTCGGGATTAAGTTTTCCTAATCCCGAGATTTTCGGGATTGACATCATTTTAAAGAAGTTGCAAAATAGACTGCATGAAGCGAAACGTTCAGTGCCAGTGCTTTTAACAAAATTGCTTGCCTATCATTTTAATATAAAATATGAGAAATTTTATTCCAAGCAAGCAGCAGAAATTAACCTAGCGGGCTTGCGATGCTTGCTTGGAATAAAACTTCTTGTATTTTGAACTAAAATGATAGGCAAGCAGTTCTCACTGGGTTACTTGGTAATATACTTCATTTTTGTATTTTTGAATTTTCGCGGGCGCCAATCGATTTTCTGGCGCAGTCGAGAGCACTACTCAGTGCGTTTTACCTGTCAATGTGTCAGCCATCTTGTTTTGCCAGTGTGGTTAATATAGACCCGACGCCTCTCGCTTAGGGGGGTCGACCTTAGGTGAAAAGGTTACGACCCCCGCCTTGCCCGTGATCTGTCAGGATGATGCGAGAAAGTCTTTTTACGTTTGGGAGTAGTGGTTTGCTGGATGCTGAGAGACTCACACAGAGACCGAATTTACAAAATTAACGTGTTTATTTTTAGAAAGGCATGCTTACAATGATCGAAACAATCGGGATTGTAGCCTTTACTCCTACAATCCCGATCTGTGTCGACCGGACTGTTTTCTTCCAACCTCCCCGTGTCCTCGAAGCTATAACTAGAACGGGCTTATAAGTATTTACTAACGATTCCTCCAACTTCCATCAAACCTAAACGCGTTTTCTCAGCAGCTGCATATATGTGCAACAAATTGAGAAGCAGACTTGGTGATGAGACACAGGATGCGTTGTTATTTCTCAGATCATATTTTCGCAATTCAAATTAGAATGTTCCTATTAGATTAGTTTTCTTTATATTTAAGAAAAATGTGACTGATTAATATTATTTTTAAATACTTTTTGCTAAGAAACTTACTTTACTACCTACTTACTAGGTTGCTATATGAAAGTAGTCTATTTAGTCGATGTTAAGAGAGATTTTTGTTAATTTTCAACGTTTATTTGCATAGTTTGTTACATAAAGGTTTTTTCAATTTATGTGAGTTTAAAGAGATCTCAGTGATGCTTAAAAAAGAATAAATTTAACATGAAGACTGAGTGATTTTAAGTCTGGTTAGTCTGACTCTGAGTCTGATTAGTTAGAGTGATTAAATTAGCTAGGTGTATACTGTAAAATATGTTGATTTTTGTCTAAATTTTGATTTGTTGATTTCTGTAAGATTTTCTTATTTTTTATTAACCCTCAATACCGAAATAATCCCGGGATCCCGGGATTGACTAAGTATAATCCCGAAATCCCGGGATTAGAAATAAGGACCGGGATCGAATTCCCTAGTCATGATCTACGTGAAATCAATTATTTATTCGGATATGTTTTAAATATTTTACATATTTTCAATTTTAATGCAACATATTCAAATTATGTAGTTAAACGAAACTTTCAAAAATATTCTATTCTACTAGCTGTTAGTTCGATATCGTCAATACCTGAGGATGTCTATTACATATAGATGAAAACGTTCGTAGAAAGAATCTTTCTGTTTGGTTATGAACTGGTAATGGTTTATTTGGTGAGTGTTATATAATTAAGTATCCAGTTTTTTGAAATACAGTATTCATGTTATATTGTATTCATGTTGTTTCTTAACAACAATATTTAATATTCAATCTTGTTTGAATATGTCATGGGAACACATGCGCATAAGGCTTTGTCTTACCATTCAATTTTATGTTCAAATTTTATATTCATGATTAATTTTGATTAAGCTGATAATAGGAAAGCTGGATCTTCCAATTTTGGAAGATCCAGCTTAATCAGAATTAAGAAAAGCCTAACCCAGAAGGGGGTTATGAAATTTGTTAATCAAGAGTATTCAACCCTTGAATAACAAATTTGTACATTTGTTATTCAAGAGTTAATTAATCATAATTCACACCAGTTATTGGTTCAAGTGAGTCTTATTTTAAAAATAGTTTGAGGACATTCACATTTGTATATCTAACATGAAAAATGTGAACTGATTATAACAGCATTTTAGCATTAGAAATTGCAAGAATTTAACTGAAATAAGCAATTTTACAGATCTCAATTTATGAGAATCATCTCTGTGAATCTATCATTAAAATAAACTATTCAAACATATTTTGTAATTTTTCAAACATATTAAGTTCTTGAATTGTAATTTTCATTTGAAAAAAGAATATTTAAAATTTTATCCACCAATTTTAAAATACTTTTTAAAAATTAAAGTGTTTGGAATAGAAAGTAGAAAAACATTAACCCAAAAAATAATTATTAATAAAATTTTAAAATGTTTATAATCTTTATAGTTTTCTTCAAATATGTAGAGCGGGAATAGCCAAACCTTGTCACAATAGGAACCATATGTTGCTTATCAGAAATACACAAGAACTGCATTCTCTATTAGAACAGTATCATGTATATATATAAATTTTAAGTTTATAAAAAGACTCTGTATAAGTAGGGTTATATGAGAGCTACATTAAGGGTCTAGATGAACCACCTGCAGCTAATAAGCTATAGTTTGGCCACTGTGAATCTGTGAATATAGAGCATGTAATTATTTTTACATCAAAGTTCAACTCTAGAGTAATTTTGACCTAGAAAAAAATTTTTAATGAATAGTTTTAGTTTTATAAGTAAATAATGTGCTGACAGATAAAAAAATCTGTTAAGATCATGCTCCCACAAAAACATCAACAGATGGCCTGAAAGTATCTGTTTTGAAAATACAATTGTTGATCATTACTTGCAAGAGGGAGCCATAAAATTTGACTTCTCTTTGTTCTTGTCATCTTGACTACAAACCAATATCTACTTGTTTCTGTTGACAGTGAGAGTATTCATCAACACCAACTGACAAGCCTAACAATACAATACATGTATATTATGTTGAATATTGAATATCCATCAGCTTAATTAATACCAGTATATTAATAAATTTAGTTGCTATTTGGCATTTGTATCATCTCTGCCACAACTACGCCACATTATAGCCCACTTTTTGTCCATTGTAAAGAAATCAAACTGAATCTGAACTAAGGTCAAATTCTTAACAGAAGTAATATATTAAAACTGTGTATTATGAAAATTCTTCATATTATAGATTTATTTATATAAAAATTCAAATATTTAAATATTTAAGAATACTTACATCAATTATTTTCTGTCCTTCATCACACAAATTGTTGCTTTCTAATGTGTTAAACACTTTTTCTATTGTTCTTTGTAGATCAATCTGCTTGCTATGGATTTCAGACAATGTCATTTTGCCTGCCTAAATAATTATTTAAACAGGAAAAGAATTTATAAATTATTTTTAAAAAATCACTAATATATTAATATAAAATAATTTAGTATTAACATAAAAATAAGAGAAATAAATAAACTGTTTTTATGAAATGTTGAAACTAAATTCATAAAAACATATTATACTTAAAAGTAATTTACCTTAAGTCTTCTTTTCATTCCTTCCAGAGCATAAGAACATTCAGGTTCTTGTAATCTTTCCAAACTTTCTATATGTCTCTTTAAATCAAATGAAAAGAAATTCAATGTAATTAATTCATAAATTTATTCCTTTTGTATATTAAATTAATAAATAAATTGGATTCAATTTGTGATATTATTTTAAAAATAAATACTAAAAATGCATTAAAATATTTTCAAATGATTCAAAATTTGAGTTTTCTAAATTTTTTGTAAAAAATTAATTTTAAGTAATTTCAATTTGTTGATTTTAATTTTAAATAAACATTTTCTAATTCCTGTTATTAATTTTACAACAACTCTGGTTTCTTTACATAGGAAAGTGATGGCATTTATCATCAAAGTTTTGAATTAAATTGCTCAGTTTTTGCTGAAACAATTCCAAACTAAATATTAGAATAAACTCACTTGTACAAATTCTATTCACATGAACTTCAATATGTGCAATTTATCTTTTATAGTTTCTAATTTTATATGGTTACATTCAAGTAGATGTGTATTGATTATCATCATTTATAATTCTATATCTAACACCTGTCTATCATCACTCTATTATCTTGTAAATTTTATTGTTATATTATTTGTTATGTCAAGTATTCAAAGTGGATTGAAACATAACTGCTCTCAGTTATGTTTCAATCCATGCAAAATGAACAACTTGGAGCCTATCATTGTGACATAGAAGGGAAGATTTGTTGGCTAATGAATGATAGCATAATGAATAATCCTCATTACAACTTTTGATATATATATAATATTCAAATTAATCTATAAATAATATTAAAAAAGTGAAAATAGAAAAACACATTAAAAATCTCTAAGAACAGAAACACTAATTTTTGGCTATTCAATTGTTCATAAAACATTTTACTAAATTTGGTGAAGACTATAGAAATGCTTGAAAATTGTAATATATTCAGTGTATTCTACTTGTATAAAATGCATATAAAGAGAATACTACTTTATTTTTGTACCAACTCGAACAAAAGGTATCAAAATGACGTTTGTTCCAGTTGGTTGAAGCTGATTATAGCTTCATCCTCCTTTTGTGTCAAACTTCTCTTTGTTCCTCCGTTTACATTCTCTCATGCATGCACCCCTCATTCCTTTGCCTCTACTGTCCTCTTATGAGAGTATTTGTGTGTACAGAAGCCACATACTTGTAAAGAATGAAACTATTTTATAAACATCTGAATAGCATACAAAAAAGGTTAACACTATTATTCTTTAGTTTTAGTGATATTAGAGTAATTTTTAATGAATTGTGTATATCGTTACTGTTTTGAATTATTTTAATCTCTATTAAAAATGTCTGGAACATAACATTAGGTATATAATAACATTAATAGATATGAAATATTTATTTACAAATTTTAAGTTAATATTTATTGTAATGTTATTACTATTAAAAAGTCAATGAATTTGTTGAAATCACCTAAATTAAATAAATGTAATAAATGATTGAAGTTATCTGTTCATAAAAAAATTTTGGGGTGTATTCACATTGAAAATTATTGATCTAGAACAGGAATGGTGGACCTTATTGTGCCAATATTCCAAACTAGGCATATTTAATTTAAAGAAAACATATACATATCAAAACTTTAAACAAATATTTTAAAAAAATGAAATTAATATACAGCGGGTGATCGGTTAACGAACAGATCAGTTAACGAACAAATCGGATAAGGAACACTTTCACGAAAGATTTCTATGATCGGACAACGAACATATGTTCGGATAACGAACACTTCACTGAACAAACACAAGAAGCGACGTAAAATAACGAATACCAATTGGTCTTCCTTTGTCTTCAGGCAACAATTCGAAACTTTTCGGAGCGCGGGAGACGTCGACATCGACGTTCTACCCAGTATATACTAATCAGATAGTATTCCCCCGAACTTTGAAACTCTCCCTTGTAATTCCAGCCTTTTGTATTTCTGACAGAAACAATTCTTTTACGTTTNAACATTCTTCCCGTCGTCACCACTGAACGTTTCAAGGGATTCATCAACATCTCTAAAAGTAAACATCGGCTTGGAATACTCACTTTTATAGCGCATAATATTACTATCTTCGTCCTCACTTTCGTCAGCATCGTCATCGCTTTGTACGTCGTTTTCTCTGGCATTCTCAATCAAAAGTGCCGCCTCCAATCTTTGCACTAACTCTCTCTTGCTACCCGTGGTTTTCAATTTACGTCGTCCTAGTTCGATTTTCAGATCAGCACACTTAAGATGTTTCACATCCGGTATCGTATTGTCCTTAGTTAAAACAGTCAGTCGTAGTTCTTCGTCGTTCACCACGGCGTCACTAACTCCGCCATCTTGTCTGGACTCCATTGCACTTCTAAAAGTTCTCGTGTGAATTTCTCAATATCCCGGACGAGCCCCCAAAATTTGTAGGAATAGTTATTGAGATTGAGAATTATAGAAATGACAATAAACTTCCAGAGTTCGTAACCGTCGTAACCGTCTTGATGGAATAATAATGCTTTCGCCTTCGTAACGTCCTTTGTTTCCTTTTCACTTTCCACCTTTTGCGTCGTCACCCACCGTCGTCTTGTTTACTACTGTCCCTTACTTGACACTCCCTTTTTCTCGCTTCTCCCCTCACTTGACTCTCCCTCGTTCTCCTCGCCTCCCCACAACCCCTCGTAAATTTTATTGTCTTAACGGCTTAGGAATGTTACTCGCCTAAACCCCACATTCGGCCATCCTGACAGCTGACATCGTCCCCGATGTCCTCGTCTGACCGGTAGAATACTTCGTTAGTTGAACGGACCCACTGTTTCATGTTGTCCGCTTGCATGTTTTTAATTACTTTAATGTTCTCCCTTGCTGTTGCTCTAATTTTTGCGGACTTTCTAGACCGTCTTCGATATTTTGAATCACGTGATTGAGTATGATTGTCACATCGTCTTTGATCAGGACTTCTTGATCTAGATCTATATTTAGATCTTTCTTTCATTTTTTTCCTTTCTTTATAATATCCTCTTCTATTATAATAAGATCTATCTCTACTTCTGCTTCCATGTTTTCTACCTCTTGAGCGTCTATTTTGTCTCATGTCACGTTTTCGATCATCCGATCTACTATGATAATTTTGTCTGTGTTTTTCTTCTTTCTGTTGCTTTCGTTCTTCTTGCTCTCATTCTCCCTTATGAACAATTTCTTCACCTGCTGATTTTAATCTTGCGTAACCAACATGCTGTTTTTCCATTGAATGATCATCAGCGCATTGCTGTGCATCACTAAGTATTAAAAAGGCACCACAAACTTCCATCTGTTTCTCCTGAACAACTGCAACTTCTGCTTGCTTAACGTTTGATGCATGACGTCGCTGTAACCAATAATTAAGTTCTGAAGACTTATGTGAAGCTTCTTTTTCTTCTTTTGACTGGTCACAAAGTTTCGTTATTCCTTGCGCTTCTACTTTTCCTTCATCATCTGTGGGTAGTTCAGATGTTTTGTGTAACCATTCTTCCATCTCCTTATTAACTTTAGCCTTCTTACTAGCAGATAGCTGGCTTGCACGTTGACAAACTGGAGCATCATTTTTAAAAATAATGTTCGTTTTGATCCCTGTTTCTTGTTCCCTGGCTGCTTTGTAGTTTCTTGTTAGATTCAGAGGCTCTCTTCTATATTTTGCATCATTGGTGCGGCTCAAATCAACACCACCAACATCGATATCGTATACGTCTGAAACATTTGCTTCTGCATCTTTTGTTTTGGTAATTTTCTCAACACAACCTCCTTTTAAACTAATATGAACTTGTTTTAGAAAGTCTGCTCCCAACAACAACTGATAAGCAAGGAATGAACTTGGAACTACATGTATGGGGACTGAAAATTGGTGTTCGTCAACACTTACTACAGTCCAAAAACTTCCAAGCGTAAAACTCTTTCGCTCACTTACTCCGTGAAATTCTAAGAAATTACCAATTAATTTTGGTGCGCCCAACTTTACGTAATCATCGGCTCTCATTAAATTTATATCACTTCCTGAGTCTATAAGTGCCGTGAAGCTCATTTCCTCTATTTTGACTTCTTTTATAGGCTTTGACTTAAATTCTTCTACCTTTACTTCATAACTTCTCTTCTCAACATTTTGAGGACATTGAGCCGAAATATGACCAAAATTATTACAGCTAAAACATTTCATTCCTTTGTCTTTTTCCGGACAACCTCTGCTCATATGATTTTTCCCGCCACAGTTGTAGCATCGTTTTTCATCTCTATAAGAATTATTAGGCTTAATCTCACGCCCTAACTTCTCGGATCCCACCGTCATTTTATCACTTGGCTTACGACTTGATCTCATGTTTTCGTAGATTCTCAGCTTTTGTCGGAATTCTTTAAAGGTAGTAGCACCATACAGGACTGTCTTACTTACTTGTTCATCCGGAATTCCATCGATAATGTATTGTATTACCGATTCGTCCTCAATTGTAATTTGTGACGAAATTTCGATCATCCTATACATATATTCCTGGTAAGTCTCGTTTTGATGCTTTACTTCCATTGACAGCTGCTTATGAATCTTTCTGCTGTTGAGTTTAGGAGAGAACTCGGCGCAAAGGGCTTCTTTTAATGATCGTCATGATTTGGTACATTGTTCGTAGTTAACGTACATTTTCGCTGATCCTTTAAGTAGTCGTTTTGCGTAAATTATCCTTTGCATGCCATTCCAATTACACATCTCCGCCATGTCATCGAAATTAGAGATCCATTTCACAACATTCTTCCCGTCGTCACCACTGAACGTTTCAAGGGATTCATCAACATCTCTAAAAGTAAACATCGGCTTGGAATACNAAAAAAACATGACTAATAAAAATGCAAGACCGTGTATATATGTATTTTTATTATTACATATGAATAAACATAGTAAAAAAGTATATACTTTTCTTATTTTTGGGGTCTCCAGAATGAATTAATCAAATTCCCATAGAAACCTATGGTAAATCGATAATCGGTTAACGAACAATTCGGATAGCGAACAAAGTCTTGGAACGGATTATGTTCGTTAACCGATCACCCACTGTACTTCAATTAGAATAAATCAAAGAAAGCTGATTAAAAAAAAGGATTATGGTGTAATAAACAGAATATAAAAACCACAATGAAAAGTGAAATTAATATCAATTAAAATTTATGCAAAAATTAGTACAGAAAAAGTAAGCATAATTGATGCAGAAACCTTTCCTTTTGCATGAAAATGATATCTATGAGATATGAGTATGAACACATGGTAAGAACAGAGGCACAGTGGAAGATGTGGAAGAACCCTTCTTTAAACTTATAATGGGACGCTCCTTGTTTTTTGGTTATTTTCATATTGTTTGTTTTTCTTTCTTGTACATTTTATCATGGAATGCCATAATGCCACAATATTTAAACTTTCAGTTATAAGTGTTATATTTGAATTATGAGTGTTTCTATTTAATTTTGTTGTTTTGCCTCTGAAGATGAGTTTTTTTAAAAAAGTTCAGAAGTATTAAGATATTAGCGAGGTTGTGACTGAAGTTTTCATCTCTAAAACGTGAACGTCGAACGTCGCTTACAAGATAGTGGCGCTCGATGTTCGACGTTCATGTTTTAGAGATGAAAACTTTGGCCGCAACCTCTCTATTTTTGAATTTTCCTGTACTCCTAAAGAAAGCAGTGTGGAATCATTTGTTTGTTTTATTTTATTTCATGTAATTAATTATACATGATCTTTGTGACACATTATAACATAATAATATAGACAAATTATTCTTTAATTTTTAAAATTACTTTATAACATACTTACTGGATAATATATGGTAAATATATCTGTTATGATACAAGTCTCAGTAATTAATTCTGGCTCAAAATTTGTAAAAATCATTAACTGAAGTGATCCTCTTTGACAGAAATCACCTGAAAGGACAGTCAACGAATCATCCCAACAACAATGGATCTATAAATGAAAACAGCAGTTAAAAATAAAAATTCTATAATTTAAAATAAAAAAAAATATGTCTTGACATTAATATAAATAAAATATTTATAATCTTGGAAAAATAATTACCTTACAAAAAAAATTATCTTAAACAATAATTAATCTAAAACTACTTAATTATTTTTTAATGCTCTTTAGTTATTCTATCTACAAATTCTTTGAAATTTAAATATTTCTTCTATAATCACACATACAGTGACATCGTTAAGTCATTAGATGGGAGGGGTGTATGACAAAAATAGATGACTCAGTAATCAAAATTCCTGATTAATATTTGCAGATTTTATTCTGTATTTAAAATAATAGTAGTGAAGGGTTTAGAAGTTTTAAAAGAATATGGCTACATGCCTATGTATGCTAATGAATTATCAAGTTTAAACTTTTAACGTCAACTAATAAATTGATAAGACACTTTAATTATTATATTTATTTAAAGTTATACATACATCTGTCTGACCAACTTGTAACAGTTTGTGACTATATCATTTGATAATTTTCCAATTGAAATCATTATATTTAACTTCTGGAGGGATGACTCACCCCTCCATACCCCTATATAACAATATCCCCATGCACATATATATATTCCACTAAGTTACTTCAAGATTGATCTACATAATTAAAGTGTATTAATTTTCAACAGTAATTTACTGTAGACAATGATACTGTACTACTCAGTGTGATGCCAAGTATAGCTATATCCAGAGCCCAGAGCAAACTGCTGAACCTAAAGGTGAAATTTGGTACACAGTTAGGGTACATCATGAAAACGCACACTAAGAAGGAATTTTTGGAAATCCCCCGCAGGGGGAGAAGATTAAGGCTTAACCTAAAGAATGGCTTCTACTGTACTATTTTAGATGTGACTTTGTTTTCAACTACGTTTAGTCTTCATTGAGTACTTAGGTGTATTAAATTGATAACATTTCAGACATTGTTATAAATATTTTTATATATTTCAATTTTTTAACCAAATGTTCGAACTGTTTTAAATTCAAATTTGTTATTGCATATTGGTTTGATTATAGAATGATTATAAACATTCCAGAAAATTGATCAAATTGAAAATAGTTTATTTGAATCTCAGCAATTCTCATCATTTGCAGCAGTAGATGTTATATAACAATTACTATGATTGTTGAAATACTGAATATAAATAGGGTTTGCTTGCAAAATCTGCACGGGCGAAGTCGCGGGTAACAGCTAGTGTATGAATAAAAATAAATACCAAAAACAAAATACATAATTATCAACAATCAATCAATACAGGAAAGAGGTATTTGGTATGAGAGTTTTAAAAAAAAATGCTTGGATGCTCATTGAATGAAAATTGGAAGCAACCTGTAGAAATGTAGAACTGTACTGTGTGGATATAAACCTAAATTTAAGAATGAGAATTGAAATGGTATGATGCTATGTCTCTACTGACCTACATTTACAGTCAGTAAGGACATAGTATCATGCTATATATTTGAATCATGTGTCAATAAAGACATAGTAACATGCTATATATTTGAATCATGTGGAGACATGAGGCCGTATGTAGAACTGTACTGTGTGGATATAAACCTAAATTTAAGAATGAGAAGAATAGGAATGGTATAATGCTCTACTGACCTATATTTACAGTCAATAAAGACATAGTAACATGCTATATATTTGAATCATGTGGAGACATGAGGCCGTATTCTGGTTGTCGTCTCTCGTATCTCACAAGCTAGTCGCTGATTGGCTATTAATTTGTTTACATCTTGAGAGATCATCGCATCTCTCCAAATGCAATTCTGGACAACTCTTTCTCTCAAAGATTTTCTCGTTTCTCAGAGACGAGCGGATAGTTGTCTTTTGTCTTGATTTTGTTAAATCCAATATGGATGACTGAATGCTACTTGCACTGTACAATCATATTAGAGAACGTTCTCTATCTTGGGAAAGAATATTTCGAGAGAGAGAAAATGCTTCTGAATTTTTTCAGAAGCCACTGATTCCATTTTTATTTTTTTAATTATCCTACATCAATTACTGAACTATTGAATATGATGTTAATCTTACTTAGATAGTTAAGGAGAAATTAGATGGTAATATTTTGAAAAATATCTAAGTATGCACACTTTTCTAACTTAGGTTGTTATTAAAATTTTTATATGTTAAAAGACAGATTGGCATTAAAATCTGTAAAAACGTTATAAAACAAAAAACATAACTTTGTCAAAATTATGTGCTTTATTTGAACGTGTGCTTTCCTTGCCACATGATCTATAATTACATACTCTGCATTTTCAAAAATTTTACAATTTCATTGGTTAAAATTCTAAACCATGTTGCGCGAGCAGATAACCCGAACATGAATAATCAACCTAGTAGAATCGTGACGTCATCAACGAAGACGAGATCATTAAAAGTGACCAGAATCGCCACTGTTTCTGAGAGATGAATCTCATCTCTTCTTTTGATGTCATTTGTCCTTGAAAGAAGAAACAAGAGATAAATGACCAGAATGTGGCCCATGACCTCTTATGAAAGCAGTTATTAAATAACTTAAGCATATGAAACAGTTACATATAGACACATGCTAAGTTTGGTTGATAGAATATAAAATGAACAAGTGGTGAGACAGATAACAAAAAGAAAGTTATAAAAATAATACAGAAAATAAAACATCTTAATTTGTTGCTGAGAAAAATATAATTGAAAAACAAACATTTTCAGCCTGATTAACAGGCCATAACCAGGTCCAAAAAATGAAAATGGAACAGATATATTCCATGTATAGAATACAAATATTTAAATCAAAATTTATAACAAAAATTTTTAAAAATATACAAGAGAAACAGAAGAACATCAACACAAAATTAACATTTTGTGTTAATTAACACAAATTTACACATATAAAATTACCATATAACAGAAGAACATATAAAATGAACACACAATTAACATTTTGTGTTAATTTTATATGTTCTTCTGTTGAAAAATTGAGAGAAAAACAATCAACAAACAAAGAACATTTCAACTCAAAATTTTCCCATGACAGTTAGAGCAGCAGTCAACAGAGAGAGATCAATCAATATGATATAACACAAAAAGAATATAAATAAGATGGGAACAAGTCTACGACTATATGGAATATATGCTGTAGCATTCAGCATACTGTGCTGGATGTTATAGTTTTGTGGACAAATCTAATGACATTTCTCATTAGAACAGATGATATCTGCAACAAGACAGTCAATATGACTAGTAGAGAATGGCTTCTTAATTCAAATAATCTGTTATAACTTTTAAGACTTAATTTAGATGACATTTTAACCTAAAATTTCCATAGCAACAGCTTGATATCTTACATGTAGCAACTCGGTTGACAAATAATATTGTATTTTTCAAAGAATTTAATTATATTTTCTTTGGACTTGGATATATTTCCCAAGATAATACACAAATCAAACTGGTAAAATTGCAGCTCTGAATAAGGCAACTGGGATCTTATCAGAGCCATACATCTTGTCCACAGGAACAAAAATAAGTCAAAGGAATTGACATTTACACATACTGTACATCTTATGAAGGATGTGTACACATCCTTCATAAGATGTATAGCTATATGTATGAATAAAGATAAATACCAAAAACAAAATACATAATTATCAACAATCAATCAATACAGGAAAGAGGTATTTGGTATGAGAGTTTTAAAAAAAAGTGCTTGTATGCTCATTGAATGAAGATTGGAAGCAATTCAGCTTCCAATTCAATGAAGCAAAATATGTAGAACATATTGCTTCTGTAGAAATGTAGAACAGTACTGTGTGGATATAAACCTAAATTTAAGAATGAGAATTGAAATGGTATGATGCTATGTCTCTACTGACCTACATTTACAGTCAGTAAGGACATAGTATCATGCTATATATTTGAATCATGTGGAGACATGGGGACGTATTCTGGTTATCGTCTCCCGTAAGCCAGTCTCATTGTAATTATTACAATGAGTCTGGTTATTTAATGCTATTTGTTAAAATAGCATGAAATAGCCAGTCTCATTGTATAGTATGAAATAGCCAGTCTCATTGTAAAATAGCATGAAATATTTGTTGGAGTTCAGGCTATTTGTTAAACATGTCATAGGTTTAATGGAATGCAACATGATTCTGATCATGCCCCAGTAGTAGTTGGTGCAATAGCCTTTCTTGTGTTTTATGAGCTTTTAATCATTGTAAAGTGGAAAAAATTAATTTTTAGCATTATTTTGAGAAATAGTTCTGGAATTTTTAAATTGTTAAATTTTACCCATTTTTGGTCTTTAGAATTCCAGATAGACAGATTTTGGTGAATCATATCTTGCAAAAGGGTTACATGTAGACCATTGGTTCCTTTGACTTTTTTTACTCCTATGAACATAATCTACAGCTCTAATAAGATCTCAACTGCCTTTTTCAGAGATGCAATTTTACCATTAAATTCTGATTCTGCACAGAAATTGTCAAAAGAAATACTTTAAACTTATAACATACCTTAAGTAATCCTAAATGATCACATTTTGTTATAGCACACGATCCTTTTAACGACTGTAAAATATAAAATGTTTGAAATAAATTCAAACAGTAATCAAATTTTGAAATATCATAAATATCCGAATACGGTATATTGCAACTATATTTTATAGCACCATTAATGAATAAAATGAACTGTTTCTTCTCTGTACAGACTATCGTGAAATTTGAAAACCAATTAAAACTGGAATCATCATGCAAATCCCATGAACAATGATCATCTTGATTTTTTACAATTAAATCTATTTTAATTGCAGAAATAATATATTTATAAATTTCGGGGACAAAATGATCTATGGGTAACACATGAACGGGTTTAAATTCGTCTGACAAACAAACTAGAAGTCCAATAGAAATTTCATTCTCACACTTCCAACATAATAACAACACACCATTTACAGACTTAATTTTACTGTTTACGTCAATGTCAGAGACTTGTAAAAGTGTTTCTACATTTTGTTGACAAGGAACAACTTGTATAAGACAAGAATTAGCAGAAACTGTGTTATTCGGCTCACACTTAAATATCTTCAGAAGATTATTTTCGGTCCACAGCAATAAAGGTTCATCGGAAATGTAAATATTCTCATATACCGAGCACTCGGCCCGAAAAGTTCCGACAGCGTTCATTTGCCACTTTTCACTTATTCTATCAATTCTGCAGATATTTATTTCAAATGAGTCTGTATAGCTTTCAGCAATTACATATAAATTTTTCAAACATTTCCCAGCAGCTGTCATTCCACATTTTATACAGTTTTTAATGGGAAAAGTTAAAATTTCTTCTTCTTTGAAGCTGAATTCACATTCCTCTCTACAAATTTTCTTAATTATAATTTCTTCACTATCAGCTTTCCAAACGAACAACTTTCCACAAAAATAATATACACTTTGTAGCATTTTTGATGTGTTAAAACAGGAAAATGATTTAAATTCATTCTTTAATATACAATATAAAATATTAAAGAATTTTCTTGATTAATTACAGCATTATTTGCGAGATAGGCCATTCCGATACGTCTCTGTACTTTTCTCCGTCCTGAAAATCTTCTAAACACAAAATATAAACAAATCTCTAAAGCACACGTTTAAATCGGGCGCCATCTTTACAACGATAAGCTTTCGCTTTCGGCACCAGAGGGCGAAATACGAAACTGCCAGATAATAGAAGCAAAAGTCGCCAAAAAATTATCACTGAAATAGCCAAAAATCGCTCAATCCAAATTCACGTAGAATCAGGAGCGAATTTTCTGGACTCTCTTAGCATGAGCGGCATGCTTAAGAGAAAGTTTTGATTGTCAATATATTTTTTATATGAGAAAAAATATGTCAGTAATAATTTATTCTAACATGTAAACTCTTTTAACATTTGTGTTTCCTTTTACATTGGCAGCTAGCGGCTAGTCGTTTTATGTCAGTGCCGTGCTTGCGGAAACTCGATCGCTTGCAGCTTGCTTTTTTTTTTTAACTTATTCCGCCCTGTGGTCACTAAGTGGGCCTCTTTTTGCAAGCCCATTATGGGTTCGGCCAAGCCCACAATGGGGCGGCCGGGTGGTGAGGGACGGGGCTCGATATATCCGGACAGACTACCCCCGAAAAATTCCTGGAAATTATTTGGCCCGTCCGGATTCGGATCCTGGTTCCCCAGAGCGGTAGGCTGCCACTTTTACCATTCGGCCATCCTGCCTTGCTCGTGTGGAGGTTTGCCGCAGCAAACAAGTGCTCGTGCATGACGTCATTTGAAGCATTTAACACGGGCAGAATGTATCGAAAGCTTGCGATACCAGTCAGCATACATGTATTGTGTACAGGGTCGGATTTACATAGGGACTAATAGGGCTTAAGCCCTGGGCCCCAGTGTTAAGGGCCCACAAAATTTGAATTATTATAATAAATTTTTAATACTTTTTCATTATAATATATTTCATATATTTCATGTGTAGATATAATAAACTTTATAATAGTACATACTTTTTTATTCACACTAGGATTTCTCATTTCCCGGTCTTTTGCTTGTCCCGGAATCCCGGGACAAGCAAAAGACCAGGAAATGACAAACTCTACCTACAATACATTTTCATTTAAAAGTTTGTCGTAATCCGAAAGTGTTGTGATAGTAGTTATATATTTATTAAATATTCCTAAATAATTTTTTATTTATATTATGTTAATTTTATTAATCATTTTGTGTTTATATTAAACAAAAACAGCGTAGTGTCTTCTATACTGACTGCCTGTGCGAACAGCACGACGTTCGACTGGCGACAGTCACAATCCAGATTGTAGGTAAATCGAGATCGAAGTGAATCGTGGATTGTGTGCAAACGTAGTATAACGGGGCTTTCGCGCGTTGTCACAGTTGCATCCGATGAAAAAGATTTGCATTCCGGATGATAATAATGGCTGCACATCCGATTTTAGTGCGGTTCTATTGTATTGTATTGTACCTTTGAAAATTCTTCTATAACGACTGTCGCCATAGTAACGGTCAATGACGTTTACCAAAGAAGACTCCAGAATTTTTAACGAAAGTCGTATGTTCTTTCTTCATATTATTAATTTTTTGGAAATTATTAATTTTAAAAGTTATTATACTCAGTGATGGCTATTGAAGAATTTCTGGAGGAATCTAAGGAAGCCATTTAGGATTTAAAGAGATATTTCCGTAATAACCCAAAAGGGTGATTGGGTACTGAGGAACATATTAGATTTATTACAGATAAATTTATTACCTTAGTGAAGAGCGCCAAAGAGGTAATTAGGAAAAATTCCATATCAGATTTCCTGCTTCAGAAATTTGATTTGTTGGCAACGAAAGAGGATGTCAAACAGCTGCTTGTTGCTCAGAGTGACAAAAATTTAGAGGCTATTCAGGAAGTGAAACAGACTATTTGTGACTTAGAAAAACCTCCACTTTTAGGGGTGGAAGGTTCTCAAGGGACTACTGCTCTG